ATGCTGAGTGTATATTTCAAAGCACAACTTTTCATTAAAAAGAGCCAAATGTTTGTTTTTTTTTCTTCAGGATGTCCTTCGGAATAATTCACAATAGCTCAAACAAAAAACTCAATCAAAAGCTGCTGTGGTTGGTGTTGTGGGGTAGAAACCCTTATTTAGTCAACAGTTTCAATGGTTAAGAAAGAACTATGTCTCTTCGTTATTTAAAGCTGCGACGACTAGCCAAGGTTTATAATAGCGGTTTACAAAATATTATACAGTTATGTAGTTGTCGGTTTTTTATTTACAGCTGTCTGTAGTAATTACAATTATCTGTAGAAATTATGAATACAAGTGTAGCTGGGTTACAAATGAGTTAAGTTGACAAACAGGTACCATTCGATACGCTTGCCGGATTTAACCGTACGATTACCGTAAAACTCAGAAGGCGGAGGGAGGTTTTGGTCACTTGTTGATTAACAAGGTTAACCGAATAATCCGTTGGTTAACTATGGTATAGCAAATATTTTTCCTAGTTTCTATAGTCGATTTCAGAGATACAATATTTTGCTAAATCTAATGAATTCAATTGGAAAGGTTATACACAATTTCTAGCTGTTTAAGTGAAAAAAAAATGAAAAATACAAATCGTTTAGACAAATCAAATTAAATCATGGTTCTATTCAGAAATAAATATAAGTTTCAGGAACTGCTAACAGAACTTAAAAAAACAAAGTGTCAACAAACATGGATCGTATTCTTAATTTAAATTCAAATTGTGACACAGTGATTATAGTTTAATTATATGTACACAATGAACTACAGAGGAAACCACAGAATCTGCTTCGCCTTGTACCTGTACTCTTGTAAACTGAATCTAATATTCAGCTTTCAAGGGCATCACAAGCAGCTTGATAAATATTTCACTGATTTCATTAATATTACATACTCGCTGCAGACAGTGAGCTTTAACTTGCTTATGGCAAAACTGTACGAATGTATTAGCACATCATGCCTGTGAATTCAACAATTCGTAACTATGGGAACATACTGACAGATTTTCGCTCATGCTGACTTTACATTTTTTTTAGATACCAGTTAAGACATCGAATGTTTCTACAAAAAAAATCATCTTACGAATGCATGCCACTTAAAAACCAAATCTTGAGAAAAATTACGATTTGCTAAATGGAAAAAAAACCTGTGAATTGTTGCTTTACTTTAAGTGTGTCAGCCCTTGAATTTCAATCGATATATCGCCATAGCATATGTTGTGAAACAATGTTCGCCATATTCCAAATATTTAATCAATGAATCATATTTATTACATTTATTAGAAAAACAAGTTAAAAATGATTCGTGATATGGTGATACGGTAAATAATACCCATCGGCCATTTTTGTTATTTTCGCCGTTTTTGACTGACACAGTTTTCAACACTTTACGTGGATTGACCTGCGAATTGCACAGTTCTTTTGTAACATTGCAAGCTAGAAGACTGCTTTTTTTTCCTGTATCTGTCTTTGTTTACTAGGTGCAACCAAATAACTACAGACATGCCACCGCCAATCCGTTGGACAGTTTTGACAAGTTGTAGTAAGAACACCAAAGCATAGATAAATATAAATAACCGAGACTGAATTTTCTTGTACATTGTCACACAAAAAACAAACATAAAAAGCATATAAAAAATACTCTAGAATAAATTTAGACGGGAAACTATGCAATTAGCTGCCAGTCGAGCCATTATACAAACATTGATGTGTTGTATTCATCTGTCTAAACTGTGAAAATACGCGCTTACAGTGACTATGATATATAAGCGGAATCAGTTCATCTGGTGTGACAAACAGAGTATATATGATTCTCCTCAGGTTAGGTACAAGTTCATATCTACTAACGGTGACAAACACCTAAGTGAAAGTATAACAGATCATTTGATTCTATTGACTCACACTGTGTGGTTCTATTTTATAATGCTCACAATATTGTAAAATGACTAATTTTCATTGGGTTTAATTTTCACTGAAATGGTATTTCCGGCATATTCAGTGGGTTTTAAATTCACGGTTTCGTCATTTAGATAATGTGTTCTATGCTAAATTTTACATATTCACTGTGTTTTAATTTAGCGCATTTTCCAGTCAGCGAAATAAGCTAAATTAAAACCCAGTGAATAATTACCCCCTTCACAGTATTCAACTTGGTCGCCAAACGACGTTTCACACAAACCATTCATTTTTCTCTTGTGATAAAATGTTCATATTTAATAAAATTCATATCCACCTTTATGTTTGATAACTTATGGTGAACTAATCCTACGTAATAATAAGATTCAGTATTAACCTAAGGTTGCCTGAGTTCAATCAAGTTATAGACATTTAAATCATCAAGTATAGTGACACATCCGGTGAACCGATGAAGTTGCAATTTATGTGTAAGTGAGTTGAATGACCTTTTGATGATAAAACAGCAGCAATATACTTTCACGAAATGTACACATAGTCTCGTGGTAGAACAACATGCCAGATAGATTTTCCT